AAGTGTTATTATTTAATATATAATGCTAAATGATATTTAAATTTTAAAAATAAATGATTATTCATATTCCACTTTCTATATGTGCATAGAAAAATATTGTATGTTTATATCATATATACTTTGATCTTCAATTATTTATTTTAGACTTAATACTACTTCTATATAAATTTCAGTTAATATTCAAAATCAATTTATTTTTTTTATATTTTTTATATACATATATCTAAATAACTAATTATTATGTTAATATTTATATTAAATTATTATATTACAATATTAATATTTAATAATAAATAATGATTTATTGTAATTTTTACGTATTTATTGCAATTTACAAATAATACATGAAATATTCAAAAGTAAATTTAATAAAAATTAATAAAAATATGTTAATAATTTGAAAAAAAAATAAAAATATGTTAATATGTTTCATATATTAATATTTGAAAATATTTTAATAATTTGAAAGATTAATTAATAATTTGTGAAAAAATTTACTTACTTTTCCAGCAGAAACAGGTATAGTGGTTTCTCGAGTATAAATTGGAACATCCAAATCACTGACACTGCTACTGATACTAGGTGCTCTAGAATCTGGTCGACCACTAAGAGGGACAGAAAGATGCGTTGGCCTAAGTGGATGAGATTCTGCGATGAAACCCTCTCCAAAATCTTCATCATCTCGATCCATCTTCCTTTACAACACCAAAAGACATTTGCCTTGAAATAATCAAATTGAAAAACGAACAAATTCTTTAATTTTTTTTAATGTAGAATCAAAATACAATTTTCACTTTAAACAAAAAAAGAAAAAAACTTTTTTGTGTTTTCTAAAATTTTTTGAAACATTTTTCTATTATGAATTAATTAAAATTGATTTTAAATAAAACAATTATACTTAATTTATCAAAATATAAATACATTTATAAAATACATTTCTTTTTAAATAAAAATTATTATTAAAAATAAAAGAAAAATATAATACCATTTTATAATAATTTTATAATACCAATTTTATAATTAGAATGAAACACTAGAATTTTTTTATTAAATATTAAATATGAAATTAGATGCGTCATTAGAATAATGAAAATTGTCAATTGTGCGTCGTAAGTATTGTATGTAAAATTAGCGCGAGAATGTGACAACACTATGCTTTCCCTATCAATTATTTGGCGAAGAATCAAGGCTAGTAACTCGATGACACACTCCCCACTCCTATAGAAAATTTTATTCTACCATTCAAGAAAATTATTAGAAAACATTATAATTTTTATATTATTTATTTTACTAACTTTCACATATATCTTATTCAATTTCAATATTAGAATTCGAAATTATTTATTTAAAAATTATTTACAAATTATTGCATAGAATTTGATTTGAAACCAAATTAAAATAATATAATTATTAATTTGAAATTGTGAACTCTATTTTATTAATTCTTGAATAAAAAAATATGAAAAATATTTATCTTTACATCAAAAGATTAATTATATTTTAATGAGTACATCGACATTTTTCATAAATCATTCGACATGAATCAGCAAAAATTCTTGTATGTATTATACAACTATTACATATAATATTTATACATTCGATCAATAAACTATCATTTAAAAATTTCACGTATAAAAAAAAAAGTTATTTTCTATATAAAAGTTCTACATAAAATAAAATATATATTAATTTGCCAATTATATATTATATATTAATTTGAGCTAATTGACCATGAAAAATCAGGACATAGTCCATTGACGTCAACGAGGAATCTAAAAGCTGCCATAAGAAAAATATGACATTTTTTAATTACCTCGTGCTTAAGAGAAGTAGAATATAATAGAAGAAATAGAATGAAGAGAATAGTTCAGCAAAAATTCGTTGTTTTTCAATGAATGTATTTGCACTTTTTATGCCGCCAACTATAAATGAATGTATTGAACGTACTATCGATGAAATCGATGATAAAAGCACGAAAATACAAAGAAAAAAATATCGAAGATCAGAACATCCGTACAGCCAGGGTATGCTCTTGAGACTGAGCTAGAGGACGCATCTCGTCGTAACATCGCCGTCGTCGTCGCCGTCGGCAAGACGTAGCCGTCGGCCTCCGGCTGGATTTAATTTTAACGCATACGTCGTTAGACGAGCCTCTGACTTCCTCTAACAACGAATACAACTACGTTAATGCATTGCCTCTTCTTCCCCTTCGACTCTTCTTCTCTTCTGTGTTTCTGCATCAATTAATTCCTGCTATACTTCGCAATTGATTTCACTTGACCTGATAGTATATCCTGCCAGCAGACTCTCTATCGGACTTGTAATAATTCATAAATATTTTTCGAAGATGTTCTTTTTTTTAAATTTTTATTTACACTCTTTAAAATCATTATATTTATGTTGATTTTTATTTGTTACAAATTTGATAAAAATATTTAATATCTAATGATTTGTTATTATTTTTTTATTCATTTATAATTATATAATTTTTTCCATTTATATATATATCATATTTTCAAATTAAAATATATACGAAATATATAATTAATAACAAGCTAATAACAAGATTCTATGATAAATCATTATTAATTTTCAATTAATTTTCAATTAATTTAAAATTCATTTAATAATGTTTTCTAATGACATTGATTATATAAAAATAACATTCAATTTTAAAATCAGTTGTATGTATTAAAGATAGTTTGTTCTATTTTACAGTGACTTATACAATGATATATTGATATTTATAATAACTTTAATAATATTATCTATTTCTAATAAAGAAAAATATTGTATTTTAAATTTATTGCATTATATTATAAAAAATAAGTGAAATATGATTTGAATGATATAAAATAATATAAAATCTAATATAAAAAAATAATATAAAAAATTTGAAATATAATAAAATATATACTTACTTTAAATATATAAAATTGATTTATTATTAAAATATTGAAAAAATAATTATAATATCTTCATTTGATATTTTTTAATAATCTTCATTGAAATTTCATTTTAACTTGTTAAATTTAAAAACAATTTCTTCGC